CCCGTTGCCCTGGCGTTTTATGCCAGGTACCAAAGAAACCGAAGGAAACACCGAGGCCTTACTAGGTGACACTCAGCCTTGGTTGGTTTGAAAAGTGCCCAAGATCCATGAACCATTTTTCTAAGTTTCTAATTTATTTTATTTGTTATATTCGTGTTGCTTTTATGTACTAAGACTAAGTTTTAAGTTTTTATTGGAGTTATAATTTAAGAACTTCTAATTTCTGAGTCATTAATTAATGCTAGTAATATTGGTGACAACAATTGATGAGGGGTTAGTTATTAACAAAATTGATTTTAAGTTCTAAATCTTATTATGATGTCCTCAAATCTTGGGGCGTCATAGAAGTTGCTTGGAGGATTCTTAGAAGTTGCTTGGAGGATAAGTGTAGGAGAGGAAGCTTGGCAAGAAAGTTCTTTGGAGGAGACTTGGAGGCAAAGAAAAAGACTTGACTTAGACAAACACTTAGAGAGAAAGAAAAGAAAACTTGGAAGAAAAGAAAAAAAATCAAACTTATAATATATTATAATATTAAAATATCTGCTAATATTCAATAGATGGAAAGATACAAAGGATAGCAAATTTTGTTCTCACTTTTCTTTCTTTTGCTTTTCCCCTCCCTTCTTTATGATCCCAATCTTCCCAAAAGTGGCATCCACATCAATTTTCTTGGTTTTTTTTTGTATTCTAAAAATTTGGTCTATTTAATTTTTTTTAGGGTTCTTCTAGTCTAAAAGCACCTGGATTTTTGAAAAACGACAATTTTTAAGAAAAGTCATTAGAAACCAATAAATTCAAAATAAAATCCATGTATTAAAGCACTTTACCAAACAGATGGAATTAGAAATTGAATTAAGATTTGGGCGATGGGATGATTGTGACATTTACCAACCTTCTATCCAATATGGGTGTTGACATTATGGACTAAATGATTATTGAAAATATTTTAACCAACCTTCTAATCCAATGTTTTTGGTTGTGACATTATGGATGAAATGATTATTGTGCAATATTTTAGTAAAATCAATGGAATGAAAGAGTGGGTTTGGGTTTGGGTTTGGGTTTGGGGTTGGGGTTGGTCACAGGTGACAAATGAAGGAATACGGTAACTCTAGATTAAAATATAACGTAAAAAAATAAGTATATTTAAGGAGTAGTTTGAGATGTTTTAAATAAGTATATTTTTTGATTTTTTATAAAAAGATGTAAATAAAAATAGAGAGGAGATATTAATTGATGTAACCAAAAAAAGATAGAAAGATAAAAAAAATGCTTTGGAGCTCTAATTATTGAGTTCTAAGACCAGATCTAATGAGCTGTCAGTGGATTCTACCCGCTACGATGTGATGCTTTGGTCTTGGTTTATTTATTTTTTCTTGCCATGTTATTAATGCTCTGAATCATTGCTGAAAAGATTAAAAGATGGACTAAATTAATGTATGACAAATAAGGCCTTAGAATAATTTTTTAGTTTTTTTTTTTTTTTGAAAAGACATAAAAAAAATAGAGAAAAAAAAGAAAGTAAATTTTTAAATTTTTAATATAAATTATAGGCTTTTTAATTTTTTATTAATTTTTTAAATTTTAAGTTAAAAACACTACATGCCAAACGAAACCTACGTAGTGGGGAAAATATGAAACTGACAAGCAAAGGTTGAAAATGGAATGGGATAATGGTGAATAAAAAGAGATGCCAAGGGTGAATAGGAGTAGGTAGGGGTTGCTGGAAAAGATAGGGAAGTGATAATAGGTTGAAAATCTGGAGTAGAAAGAGAAATACAATGGAGAAATAAATAATAAGAAAAGAAAAGAAAATTATATTTTTAATTAAAAAATTGTCTAGGTGGGGGTCACTTGATTTTATTTGACAATAAATGAAAAATTACTTCACAGTGACACCCTCCCCCACTGCTTAAACCAAGTGGGATGGTTTTCTTTACGGCCGAACTTCCTTTTGACCGAAGTAAACTTGGCTATACCGAGCCACAGAAGGCCGAACTATCCTTAGCTCGGTCTTCTCCTTCAACTCTTTACTTCGGCTGCCCTGTTCGACCTTGATGCGCTTAGATCAAACTTCCAGGTAACAAGTTCGGACCGACCTAACCGATGAAAGTCACGACCGGACTAATTCCGACACCGGTCTTCTCAGAATATACTGCGACCGGACTAACTCTGAGACCGGCCTAACTGTGAATTGCCTCCAGACCGGAGTAATTTTACTCTTCCTTGGGCTGAAGTAACGATCTCTTCTCGAGCCGGAGTAATTTTGCCTCCTTGGGCCGAAGTAGCTTTGTCTTCCCAAGGCCGGAGTAACTTTGCCCTTCTGGGTCGGAGTATTCTGTACGGCCTTTTTACCTAGTCCACTGCGTTTTGGGCCTAAAAACCAAACTCGAAGTTCGGCCCAATTTTCCCAAAAATTACCCTCTCAATTTTCTAAGTCATAATTAAAAAAAAAAATCATAACCAAAAATCTCATAAGTTGTAATTAAAATAATATCATAATTGAATAAAAAAAATTAACTAATAAATACACGAGTATGTAAAGTAGAATTTCCTAAATTCAATTTGAAGCAAGTACCAAATAATTTTTCCTTCCCTCCAAGAATCTTGGCTCCGTTTGATTAGAAAGAAATAAATTATAAAAAGTAAAAATGGTAGAAAATAAAATGAAAGAAAACAAAACAAAACAAAAATAAAATATTGCTTCTCATATAAATTTAATTAAGATAATATTTTTGCAAAAATATAAGAATTCTTGTAACAAATTTAAACTTTCTTGTGTGCTAAGAGCATTCCAATCAACTCTCTTATATTACTTTTTAGTCAAAATAAGTTCTTTTGTCAAAAAAACACCTCCAGCATTTCCCTTATCTAGGGGTGTAATTTTGGCCCGTGGCCCGCAAGCAGCCTGAGGTGGGATCGACTCGTTAAGGCCCGAGCCTAAGCCCAGCCTGAGGCTTTGGGTCAGGGCTTGGACCATCGTTTTGAAAGCCCGACCCAGCTCATGGGCCCGAAAAGTTTGGCCCGACCCATTGGCCCGCTTAAGGCCCGCTCGGCCCACCCGATGTTTGGTGTTATTTTTAATAGAAAAAATAAAAAAAATTATTTTGGCTTGCTCAAGTCCACCCAAAGCTCGAGCCCAAGTCCATGGGCCTGACTCGAGACCCGACCCGCTGGCCCGCTCAAAGACCCACCCCTGGGCCTGGACTAGGGCTTGGGCCTAGTTTTCATGCTCGTGGCCAGGTTCGGCTAGGCCCGATTTTTTGGCGAGAGCCCACCAGGCCCGGCATGGGGCCGGGCCAAAATTACACCCTTAGTTGCAGAATGGACTGGGCCGGGCCAAAATTACATCCCTACCCTTATCCAACCTCCTAAATATAAGAGTTGCTATAGTCTCTCCCTATTTGTAGGGAGTTATTGTAGCTCTCTAAAAAATGCAATTATGTTTTTTTGTTATTTTTTTAGGGCGAATTATATTAATGGTCTTTATAGTTTGAACCTTATATTAGTTTGATTCCTAATTTTTCAATTGTGACATATTTGATCATGAATTTTGAATTTTGTTCCAAATAAGAATAATTGAAAATATCATTGCTCAATTTCAAGGGCAAAGTCGTTAATTTGATAAAATATAAAATAATTTGACAAAAATAAATGTCAAAAAAATATTTTTTAATTTTTAAAATTTATTTCTACCCACTAAAGATAAAATTATATAAAATTGATAAATTTTCTAAACATTATTTATTTATTTTTACCAAATTAATTTTTATTATGTGTTTGGATGAATAATGTAATGGACATTTGTTTTTGTTTTCATTAAATTGGTTTTTATTTTTCCAAAAGTAAAGTATAGAGACAACTTAGATATCATTATTAAATCAATCCGTTAACACTTTGTTTGGAAACTTAGGAGAGAAAAGAAAAGAAATGATTACTTAAGTTATAAGAGAAAAGAAAAGAAATGAAATGATTGTGATTTTTTTCCTTTTTGTTTGGATAAGAAAGAAATAAAAGAAAAGAAATGATTGTGATTTCTCTTATTTTTGTTTGGTTAGATTTCATTAAGAGAAAAGAAAAAAAATTATTTTATGTTATATTACTAAAATAACATTTTTATATTTTCAATCATTTTATTTCTTTTATTTTTATAGGGACAAAATTGATATTATGAAAATAGTGGTTTCTTTTCTCTCCCAATCTCTCCACTTTTGGGAAGATTAAAAATGAGACTTATAAGGGAAATGAGTTTCTCTCAATTTTTTTCATATTTCTCTCCACTTAGGTTATCCAAACAAGTAAAAGAAATACATATCGCTTAATTTCTTTTCGTTTCTCTCCAAATCATTCAATTCAAACATAGCATAAATCAAAAAATTCAAAACAAAAAACATTTCATATATTAAATATATCGATTACATATTAAAAGCCTAGCAACTACCTATTACATGATTATCATCCAAACACATAATAAAAATTAATTTGGTAAAATAAATAAATAAATATCTGAAAGATTTATCAATTTTACATAATTTTATCTTTGATGGGTAGAAATTATTTTTAAAAATTCAAAAATATTTTTTAACATTTATTTTTATTAAATTGATTTATATTTTATCAAATTTATGACTTTACTCTTGAAATTGAGCAATGATATCTTTAATTGTTCTTATTTAAAATAAAATTTAAATTTTAAGATCAAATATATCATAATTGAAAAGTTAAAAATTAAAATAAGACAAATACCAAATTATAAAAATTGTAAGGGTAATTCGTCTTTTTTTTTTTAAAGTGTGACTGCACATTGTTACAATAGAAGAATAATTAAAAATAATATTTTAATAAAATAAAAAAATAATACTAGAGAGTTTTTTTTTTAAGTGCGACTGCACGTTGCTACAATGGAATAATAATGAAAATAATGGAAAATAATATTTTAATAAAATAAAAAAATAATATTAGAGAGTTTGTTGAGGTTGGTAGAAGAAAAAGTGACTCTTTCAAATAAGGGGTAGGTGGATGAAGACTCTTTCAAATAAGGAATTAATTTTTTAATAATATTTATTTTAGGATAAAATTAGGGTGGGTGAGCTGATAGGAATGCCCACCAAACTGAGCTGAACTCAAGGCCTATAAGACGAAGACGAAGACCAAGAAGAAGAAGAAGAAGAAGAAGAAGACAAAGCACAGTTTCTCTTGCGATGTCGGACTTTTTTCCAGACGAAATCGTGGTTGAAATCCTCCAGAGACTACCCACCAAATCCCTAATCCAATTCAGGTCTGTTTCCAAATCTTGGAACTCTCTCATCACAAGCCCTAATTTCATCAATTCCCACCTCAATCACTCCCTCACTTCCAATACCTACAAAAACAGCTACGATAATCTTCCACTCCTTATAGTTAGGCAATGTATTTCTGTTCCACCACCCAGAACAGAGCACTACAAACTCTGTATTGATACTGAAGAAGCATTTGATGAATATAAACAACTTGAATTCCCTTTTAAGACCTGTCGTCTCAACTTCTTTTTCGCAATTGGGTCTGCGAAAGGTTTGTTTTGCTTTTTCGAACAAGATCGGTATTTTCTTTGGAACCCATCGATTAGAAAGTCCATGGCCATGCCCAAGCCTACAATCAAGACGTCTTTTCATCGTCATGGGTTCGGATTTGATCCACGTAACAACGATTATAAGGTGGTTAGAATAGATAATTTTTATCCAACTAAGGACGAACCAACAACACACATTGAGGTTTACTCCCTTAATGCGGGCTTGTGGAAAATGTCTAGCACAGCCATCAACTCTTATCCGGATGGGATTACTTTAGGTTATACGGAGCGATTCGCTTCTTATTTAGAAGGGGCTGTTCATTTTGTTGCAAACATGAAGAAATCCAATGATCCATTGATTTTGTCGTTTGATTTGTCTGATGAGGTGTTTCAAACGATGATGTTACCAAATGGTATGGTAGGTGTGAGAACTGAGATGAGTACTTCAGTCTTTGGGGGATTGCTTTCTCTGTTATGTTATGAATATACTGCGGTGAACAAGTCCTGTTCCATTTGGATAATGAAAGAGTATGGAATAGTTGATTCTTGGTGTAAACAGTTCACAGTTGATCTAAGCGGAGGAATTGCACAGGTATTAGGTATCCGAAATAACGGTCATGTATTACTGGTGGCAAAAGCACCAAGGGATTGGGTGCTTTCTTCATATGACCCTTCGAGCCAACAAATTAAGAATTTGGGTATTTACGCTACTTCAAACCATTTTGTTGTTGATACTTATGAGGAGAACCTTATCTTACTCAACAAACCAAAATGATGCATTTTCTAGAAGGCTAGTGTGCAGGAAGAGGAAAGACATTTAAAAGCTCTATTCAACTCAAATTTCAACATTTTTACATTTCTCAGTTATATCTTATACTAGATTTGGTTTCCTGCCTATATGGCAAACCTTAATATTCTAGTTTTGTATGTAAAATTGTTATCGAATGCTATGACGACTGGTCAGCATTGTTATATACTGTTTTGTGGTAATGGTTGATAATTGAACATTAGCAAGTAGAAAATGGTGGGAAATAGTTGAAATATTAATGTTCTATATATATATTTTTTATAACCTGAACTTGTCACATCTAATCCATATTTAACCTGGAGATGTGTTTATTCTGCATTGATATAATTTGACTATGGGTTCAGGCCAAACATTTAAGAGTTATCATATTAACCACATAATTGTAGCAGGTATGGTATGGGTCATGATCTTTTTTTTTTTTTTTTTTTTTTTTTAAATTTTTTTATGGGTTTTGATTGACTAAATCTATTACGTTGTCTTAAATGTAGGTTTTTGCTTATGGTGGTTAGTTAGCTTGGTGAACTGATTTTAGATCCTTAAGATACTAATTGGAAATGGTATTGGATTGTTAGACACGAAATCGGAAGCACTTAAGGTGCATACTGATCAATACGGAATCTAAGCTTGCATACCATCAAGTACATATAAGCATGCAGGAAGATCCCCAACACCTCCAACTCCCAATCATTAATCTTTCTCCGAAGGATAATATCGACACATGGTCATCGTCCCTCCTCAAATACTCACTCATTGAAGCCTCCCTATTGAAGGTGACCTTGGCAATATTAGTGAAGGTCACCTCCAACTTCTCCTCTCCACACCAATAATGACCCCAAAAGCTCACTTCATCACCATTACCCACCACAAACAGGAAGTTACAACTGAAGGCATCTCACCCCCTTTTCAGACTGTGTCCCAATCAACCAAGTGGTATTTAAACCCCTCCCATGCTCCTTCCCAAAGAAAGTGAAGTATTTTTATGGTTGGTAATGGTAGAAGTAATACTTGTGCTTCATTCGGAGAAGAAGACCTTATGCTTTGTTATCTCTCAATTGGCATATTTTGGGGAAACACGAAGTGAGTGATACCTTTGGAACTTTGGTCATCAGCTTCATTGTGAACTTTGGTCACAAAGGAATGTCAAGATTATCCTTTCTTTGTCCTCATTCTGATTGGATTGTAACTTGTTTGTGATTTTTGTTTTAGCGGAATGTATTTCTTATATTTGTTTCATTTATGTATCGTTGGACTGTTTGTCCAACAAAATTTCTACTCACTCTTTTTTTTAATGAAATTTTGTTTATTTTGAAAAAAAAAAGGAAGAAAACTTTATCAATATGAAAGGAAAATTACTTAAATTGTTGATTAACAAGCCGTCCAACCTAATAACAGTAAAACTAAGAGACAAAATCCAGCATGACAACAATTGTGACAAAATAAACTACAGGCCACGCTCCAATCCTGACGATGCTTGTCTTTACCTTAAACATAAAAAATAAAAAAAAGTTACTAGTTATTTATAATAAATAAATAAAATTGTTAGTTATTTACAATAGTAGTCATTTACGCATGGCTAAATAAATATATCAATAAAATCATTTTTATTTGTTTCTTGGAGAAGGTTAGATTTAAATGTTGATTTCCACTTATGGCAGTGGAAATTGTTATGAAGTTGTAATGCTTCAGAAATCTTATCAATATGAGTTGGTTATTTGTGAATTTAATTTTGTGGTTCCCAGGTCAACTCATGACCAAAGCACTCAAGCACGAATAGAGACACTTATTACTGATACTAAGGCTGTATGGTGAAATTGATCTCCAGTTTGAAGAATTGAACAGAGAGATAGAGGTAGCATATGAAAGTTGAAACCATAGCAAGAAACAGCATGCTGAGGTCTACCCCAAACTCCAGACTATTTTTTCTCAAATTCATCACAGAGATGTTTCAAGCAATGTAAGTTTATGATGTTTTAAGGAAACTCTGGAAAAAACTGCCCACTTCTTGTGTGAAAGGCATGGGAGTGGCATTAACACTTCTTTTTTCTGAATGAGTGGGATTAACAGTTAGAGTAACATATTTGTAGGGAACGAATATTTCTCAAAACTTGTTTGAGATTCTTGGACCATGTGTAAATGAATTCTAAAAGAACTAGTGTTATGAACTCTGGGCAAAATTGTTGGATTCTCTTTGAATGGGTGGTACTTGAATGAGCACGTAGGTTCTAGGAAACAAACTTATTGAAAAAGGACGACAATAGAAATAGATGTCTGGTTAGGAATTTAGGATGAAATGTAGATTCAAGGAAATCTCAAGGGGTTGGTTTAGTGGGTGCAACTTGGGGTTTGGGGGCGTGCTTCCTCTAGGTCTCAAATTCAACTCTCACTAGGTGCTATCAATTCTTTGGGTCCATGTCCGCAGGATCTGCTCGAGATTTATCCGATCTATGTGGAGGGTGTGCTTTTCGTGGGTCTTGGATTAGTTGAGGTGCGTGTGAGCTAACCTAGACACCTGATTTTATAAATAAATAAATAAATAAAATGATTCAAGGAGAATTTTTTTTTATAGAACAAGTGTTGAGAAACTTTTATGGCAACAACATGGGATTCTTGCCCAGGAGTCATGTCACAGGACTAATAATTTAGTATATATATTATAGGTGAAAATTTGTGGTAGAATAGATTATCCAGAAATAGGGTCTAGTTGGTATTCTAGCTCCATAACAAATATGGCCTTTTGTGAGAGTAGCAAAATGCCCTAAGAAAATGCCTATTTGCCTAGGTTTTATGTCCATGCAAATACTTGGTAAAATGTCAAAACAATTGTCACAAAAGAGAGAAACTACAGGAATTACATCATCTAGTTATCACAAATGAAAATATTTTCGGAGGAAAATATTTGCGTAATGTTTTTTTTTTCTTTGCAAAGGTATAATGACTGCCCTCGCAAAATGCGTCTTGTTGGCTATGGCAAAATATGTGCCTTGTGAATCATCATGTGTTTTTGATGGCTTACATTGATCGTCACTATTAATTTCTAAATCTCTAGTTTTCTGGAGGTAGTTATTGGTTCCATATTTTCATGAGGATAAATTCAATGCCTTTAGAAAGAGTTTTTAATTATTTATTTATGCTTTTATCAAAAAATGATTGAAGAAAATAACTCGTTTTATTGTTGATAGAACTCCTTATGTTACAAGCAAATATATGCATCTACGGAGATCCAGGAACTTAGTGATCTGGTAATTTCTTTTCAGTTTAGATTGAGTAAACTATTATGTGATTTCCGCATTCATCAGTTACTTTGTAATGTTTTTGATGTTTCTAATGTATTTTTTCTGGAACAAATTGATTTGATGAGGTTCACTGCCATTTCTCAAGGTCATGTCCTTGACAGGGGTGTAGGTGTCAAGGGCAAAGATTTGAATGGCAGCACCTCCTCAGGACAAGGGTCTTGCAATAAGGAATATAAGAGGGATGATGATTTGGAGGAACATTTAAGAAAAATGAAGGCTAAATCTGCTAAAATGCTGAAGAAGTTGTCTTAAAAAAAGGATAAAATATTGTAGACAATTGGCAAATCATTAATACCTACAGGGCAGGCACCTAATGCACAGCTCTGTTCCAGGTGCAATCTAAAGCTTATTAAAAATTTCTATTGAATTGTGTAATTTGTGTCATATTGTCCATTAATAATTGTGTTCAAAGTTCTTTATTGAAATTTAAGATATTGAACTAGCCTAACAATTTGAGTTAATAGATTATGTATGTATACTATTTTGATTTTTTTTTTTTTCTCTTATATATTATGAATCCTTTTTTCTTAAAAATTATTTTTTTGAAAAGTGTGTGCTATCAGATATGCACTTGCACTTTGCACTTTGCACATAGGCTCCAAGAGCCTTAATGTTCTCAAGTGCACCTCCCATTTTCATCAACATTGGAATGAGAGGATTTTATTGAAGGTTTGCCATTTATACACTTCCACCTGATTCTATCCACTCCATCCAGCTGAATACTTACACCATAAAGGGTTTCAAGAAAGTTTTCCAAATTATCCAACTTCCCAATCGTGGATAGGCCAAAAAATCTAACTTGGAGAATCTCAAATAATCTCTTACTAAAGCCTCTTTATTTGCTGCAGTATTGTAAAGAGCAACTTTAGCAAAAAGGGGATATCTCCACACCATACATCATATCAAAAAGAGATCCTACTTTCATCTCCTGACTTGGAACTTCACGTACGTGGTAAAATCTGTCCAACATTTGCTCATCCCCTTCCTCAAACCCTTCCTATGAGGTACACTAAACTATTCTGATGTCCAGCCTCCTCGCTCCATGCCAAACATACAATTATTCATCCTTGTAAATTTTTCTCTTCTTTAGCATACCTCTAAAGCCAGTTTCCTAATTAGGCTTCATTAACGCTGTGTTTGGTTGAGAGATTTGAGGAGGGATTTGGAAAGAGAAAGGAAAAAGTTAGGTAAAATATGAATAAAATATACTTATATTTCACCTAGTTTCACACACCTCTTCCCTTTCCCTTTCCTTTTCCAAATCCCTCTCCAAATCCCCAAACCAAACACAGTATAAAAGAACGGAAAAGATGCAACTCTAAGGGGTTGGTGTGGTGGCAAAACCTTAGGTCTTGAGGATGTGCTCCTTCCAAGTTTCAGAGATCGAAACTTCTTAGGTGCTAACAATTCCTTGAGCCATTGAATTGGGGGAAAACCCTTGAATTAATTGTGTTGTATTTGTGGAAAACTCATTTCCGAGAGCCTGTGCACCATGGGGAGTACTCGGGCTTTGATTCGGACACTTCGGTGCCAAAAAAAAAAAAAAGAACAGGAAGGATGCATACCCAAACCACCAAACTCCATGGGAGTCCATACTATTCCAACTTGAAAGATGGATCTTTGGATTCTTCATTCCAACTAAATTTCATATAATTAACCCCAAAATGACAATATTGGTATGATATCATCTGTCGATGGTAGATTCATCCTACCTGACCTAACAACTGTTGAGGAAAATAAACAGCTTGCTTGAAATGTGGTGAACACAATGGGTTCAAATGATCTATATAACATATTGGAATAATATATATATTTTTTGTCTTTCAAATGATCTGTTGATATATAGATTAAGTTTATTTATTATATATTATCATGTTTTTTTGTACATTAACTTTGTTGATTGCAAATGCAGGTAAAACAAAATTGGTTAATTTCAAACATTCAATGGATTCAAAGCATGACCTAATGGATGATATAACATATGACTTGTCTTTACCAAATGGAACTACCTCCGAGATTCTGATCCTTTCGAGGCATACCAGATGAAAAAGTCTCTATTGTTTTGAATTATGTTTAGTGGAAATATCAATTTTAGGAGCAAAACGATTTTGGAATTTGAAATTTTTTCTTTCAGCATCTTGTAATGTCACATGCAACTTGTATTCGAAGTTATTGTTATCAGTACGTTTTTGTTGAACATCATCATATTTTCATTGAAGAGGTCTTCTAGTCATGCTTCTTATGTTTGTTTCATGTTCACTCTGTTCAACACTATTTTTTATTTATTTATTTTTGGGTACCATTTTGCGGAGATTTTTTTCTATTCTTTGGGAGTGAGCTCAACAACTAATGTTAAAAAAACTAATTCAGTCGACAAACTCCTAGTTCTTGGCCTTTTTTAATGATTTTTTAGAGTGATTGAAAGTGCGTTTTTGACGATAAACAAGTTTGTTAAATGAGTTAAAGATTTTTTAGTAAAATAATTTTTTTTTAGCCTCAGTCAAACTTAGCTCATGCTTGGCTTGGCACCAACAAAGCGAAAAGAAATCTATCATTATTCCTTGGTTAGTTACTTTGGGAAACAATGATGAAAAGAAAATCTACGAAAATTTATTAGTTTCACAAGAATGTTTAATTTTTTTTCCCCCCCAATTTAATCGGAGACCCAAACAAGATGCTAGAGACATCAATTTATTATTGAACCAGAAGAACACTTTTAATGGCATTTGTATGACTCTGTTCTAAGAACGTTAGAATCACATAAATTTATTTACTTATTTATTTATTTTTTCACATCATAGAGATTATGTTAGGTTTTATTCTTGGCAATTCCGTTTGACAAAATTCTTTTCAGTTGTATTTGTTTTCGCACCTTTTATTTCAGTGAGGCTATGAGTTTAGTAGATGCGAATCCAACCCGAATCGTGCCTTTGTCAATTTCCATGGATCAAAACCGAGGTTGTAATAGGATCAAGTTTTTCAGATTTTTCAATTTTGATCGTCCCGCTCGAGCGGGAAAAGTGACGCTCGAGCGGGGATTGCAAGCTCACAACATCTCTGCTTTGCCTGAAAAAGTACTGGATGGTGTGATTCTCCGCTCGAGCGTGGAAACTTCCACTAGAGCGTGAAGCCTATAATTCCCACTCTCGAGTGGACCGCGCGAACACAGATTCTTGGATTTTTATAAGGAATTGGTTTTCTTCCAAAACTAGAATTACTTTAGTTTTCTATAAGTAGTTGGATTTCTCCTAAAACTTGGACAACTTCTCCAGATCTTCTTTTTGGATTCCAATATTTATATCTGAGAATATTTTGCTAGTTTTCTTTGATGTTTTTATTGAGTATTCAACTCATGGTTTAAGAAGCATACATCAATAGTTTGTTTGTTTATTCTACACAAAAGAGAGAGTTGTTCTTCGGTGGATTCTGAAGAATTCGAGCCTGAAGCTTTGGTGGATTCCGAAGTGGCTCATCGCCAAGACAATTCCGAGGTGAAGACGGGGTTGGAAGAGACACTTAGAGGTTGGTTCAATTCGGGCGTAGATTCGCTAGGTAATTGAGAGTATACCTGTGTAATTCCTTTATATCTTCTTAGTGGATTGTTTTGTGGCTGTTGCCCATGGTTTTTTTTATCACAATTGAAGGTGTCCAATTGTGGTTTTTCCACGTTAAAATCGTTGTGTCGATTTATCTTGATTGTTTGATTGGGATTGCTATATATTGCTTAAAATTGATACATAATCACAAATCAACATCTAGGGAATTTTTAGATTTTTCAAATTAGTATATTAGTAATTAGATTATAATATAGACCAATATTTCTCTATAAACTCGAACTTGAAACCACGTAAGTACCCTCTCCACGACTGCTTTGGCAATTGCCCGGGTGTACAAACTGGAAGAAAATTTACTCAGAGCCGAACTAAAAAAGAGAACTATAAAAGAGAAAATTATTTGTTAATTCAACATTGTCAAAGGCTTCTTAATTTCAAATATCAATTACAATTCTCAATGTTATCTATTGCAGGTTAATAAACTGAGATACTCTTGTTCAGTTCATTAAAAATGATTTGAGATCTGCTTGAATAATTCAATGATATGTACTATAAAATTTGTTTGAGACTAATTCAAAAATAAACAATTAAATTTGAACATATTTTCAAATTCATTAATTTTACCAACTCTTACCAGATGGGATTACTATAGGTTATTTATTTCACTGCAAATATGAAGAAATCCAATGATCCATTGTTTTTGTCGTTTGATTTGTGTGATGAGGTGCTTCAAACGATGATGTTACCAAATGGTATGGTAGGTCAAAATACCCTTTAATCCATCAAAATTGTATCAATTCGCATCAATTCGTATTGCTCTGACTGTTAACCGCAGTTTAAACTTTAAAATTTATAATTCGCCTTCTAAATTATTCCGCTCCGCTATAATTAATGTATATATTTTTTAACCTTCAATAAAATATCAATATAAAAATGAATGTGAGAGAGATTTAAAATATAAAATTTATTACAAATTAGTAGTTATATATATATATAACATATTATGTAAAATTATTTTGTGTTATATATATATAAAATATTATACAAAATATATTATGTAAATATATGATAATTAGTTAAAATATTTTTTAATCCGCCAATCTGCTAAAAACCATCTGAACCGTAATTTGTCAATCTACAAATCCATCAACCTATCATTTGGTTTGTAATTTTACTTTCAAATTGCCCGAACTGCATACATCTCTAGGCGTGAGAACTGAGATGAGTGCTTCGGTCTTTGGGGGAATTGCTTTCTGTGTTATGTTATGACGATGCTGCTCCAAACAAGTCTTGTTCCATTTGGATAATGAAATAGTCTGGCGTAGTTGATTATAAACAGTTCACAGTTGATCTAAGCGGAGGAATTACAAAGGTATTAGGTATACGAAATAATGGCCATTTCATTTGTTATACGAAAAAATTTACTCCGACAGACCAAAAAAAAAAAAAATCAAAATATACTGACTCAAATATTTGTATTATTAATTCTTAAATGAAAAGTTTGCTATCATTTTGGTTTTTTTTTTTTTTTTTTTCATCTTTAGTGAACTTTTTCCTTTTTTCAATTAAATTTGTTTTTTTTTTTTTTAGGTAAATCTAAGTTACATACATCTATAATATAATAATGTTGATCAACAAATTTGAAAAAAATTGCACTAAAGACTAAAAAAAAATTCTATTTTTTGTTTTTTATTTTTCATTTTTTACATCTTTAGTAAATTTTTTACATCACACATGGAGCTAATGTGTTGATGATGTGACAGATTCGGTTAGTTTTTTGAATGAAAGTTAGTATAGGAGTAACGTGGAAACGATTACAAATAAGAAGGGCCAAAGTTAGAATGATTATAAATATGAAGGGTCAAAGTAGGAAAAATCAAATATGAAGGGCCAACGTGAAAAGAATTATAAATATAAAGGGCTAAAATTAAAAAAAAAATCAAATTTAAAAGACCAAAATAAAAAATAGATAAAATATTAAGAGGGTAAAGTGTGATTTACACTTTAATAAAATACAACTATTTTATCATACTGTCAGTGCAGTAACTCTCATCAAACTATATATATAGAAAAAAAAGGGCAAGGACAATTAGGGATGGCAATTCGAACCCGGCCTAACGAGGACCTGACCTCGATTTGAGCGGTTTTTTTCTGAAAAATATTCCCAACGGGACGGGGATGGTATTCAAAAATTAATTCTCGATCAATTTCGGGCCAAGGACGGGGATTAATGTCCCAGCCCCGTCCCCGACTCCGACCCGTTCTCGTTTGTTCCCAAAGTGAAATTACAATTTTATCCCTATATATATATAAACCAATCACCAAACCCTCATCTCACTTCATCTCTCTCTCTCTCTCTTCCCTCTACTCTCTCTCACACTCTCGTACCTCTCCTCCTCCTCAGCGCCACCGCTGCCACTGTTTGGACGCCGATTATCTCCCTCCGTCGTCCATCGCCTCCGTCGTCGCAGTCACAGCTTTCGTCTATCGCCTCAGCGGCCCTGTTGTCTTTCTCTGTTGTCGTCGCAATCGTTCATCGCCTCCGTCGTTCATCGCCTCATCCGTCCTTCTCCGTCGTCCATCACCTCTGTCCTCTTCAGATTTGTTTCTAGATGTATTTATACATGTATGTGCGTGCTTTGTCCATTTTTTTTTTTTGGGTAGTGGACAGATCTGTTTGTGTATGTATGTATATATGTATGTGTTTGTTCTGTCCATTTTTTTTTTTGGGTAGTGGATCTGTTGATAATTTTGTTGATGTTGATGTTGAAAATGAAACAATTGGGGATGATGATGATGATGATGATGATGTTGTTGTTGATGGTGTTGTTGAAACAGATTTGGGCCGGAGAATTTTCGAGGTCGGGGAAACCCGATCTCCATTAGGGGCGGGGACGGGGACGGGGACGGGGACAGTGATAGGTTTTTCGTCGAGGATTTGGGCCGGGGACGAGGAGATTTTCACAATCGGGGATCGGGGACGGGGAGTGTGATCCTTGATTTTGCCCTGACCCGTTGCTATTCCTAAGGACAATCACAAACAAACACTATCACCAGTCTTGATATATGTAAAAAGTTCCTAAATAAATAGGAAACACTATGGTGTATACCCTTTTAAAGGTGTGTTTCATATATACTTTATAGTTAAAAAATAAAATAAAATAAAATAATTATATATTTTTTGAGTTATAACTACAAAAATTTTAAAAAAATTATCATAATTAAAAGCCGCATGAGACATAATTAAAATAATATCATAACTAAAAAAAATAAAATAATTAAGAGTGTATATAGTACACATTTGTTAAGAATGTGCATATTATAATTTCCCTAAATAAATGCATGTGAAAGTATATTAAAATTTGTAAGAATCTTTAAAGAATATGCCAAAGGTATTGAAATTAGGGTTAATTACATGTTTATCCCCAAACTATACGCGTTTTGTCTATTTGATCCCTTAACTACTGATTGTGTTTCTGTAGTCCCTAAACTTTAAGAAAGTATGTCTGTCAAGTTCAATTTGTGTTTGCCGTCCAAATCATTAACGAAATAGCGTTAGTGGAGGGTAAAAGTGACATTTTACAGACACATAAAACTGAAGAGAATGTTCCCGCCAATCCTTTGATATCATTTAATTTTTTCACTATTAGATTAGGGTTAAAAAATATCATTTGAAATAGACTTTT